GAAAATTCAAACCGTTTTCTTCTTTTGCCTAACACATTTTGTAAAAATGTCTAACTCAGTCTCATATGGAGCTAGGAAGTTCATTGTGGGCTCATTTGAAAACTGTTTCTGCAAAGTATCATATGCCCAGCATTTAACATAGGTCAATCATAGTTGACCACTGAACTTCAATCACCAAAAAGGTGTATCAGAATTTTTTTTTTGGGGAGGTTATGTTATTCTGGACCCATCCTAGTCCACTTATCCCAAGAAAATCATGACATACAAAAGACATGAGATACTTATATGTGTGATATTTCCCATCTAACATAGAGCCCATGGAGACATTGTATTATTGTTACAGCTGGTAATAAATATGTTACCATACATTTGAAAACTGTTTATCAATAGAAAAGAATTTGATTGCAACCAAGTAGCAGTATTTGTGATTTTAAAGGTAAGTTTTTTAAGTAGTATTCAGTTTATTATGTATAAATACTGACATCGTTGAAAGCTGTCCAAAGAATGAAAAGAGTCCCACTTTGATCACATGATTACAATATTATGACCAATGAGCAGCCAGAGTTGCATTAAGTTATAGAAATTTGTAGCCTGCTGTGTGAGTCGGTTTTTAAGTGCTGCTGTTACAACTTATGCAAAATAGTATTTAAGGCTGCATAAGAATACAGTGCTTTGGATTTTGAAACAGCAGTATTGCTCAGTTTTTATGGTGAGGTTTTTGAATTGAATTGAATTGAATTTATTTACACTCTATAAATCCTAAGCAGGTTAGTATCTTTGGATACAGAACAAGTCAAAAGGTTACATACATAAGTACAGGCAATTTTAGCTTAAAAATTAATATAACTTAATTTTACATCATTCTCTATTTACATTGAAGTATTCATCTAAAGAGTAGAAGGAATGAGCATGTAGATAATTCTTTAACTCTGATTTAAACTTTTTAGTATCATTGCCCAAGTTTTTAATACTTTGTGGCAGATTGTTGAACACTTTTATGCCAGTAAAGTAGACTCCTTTTTGATATACTGATAAAGTTGATGAGGGTAGGTGGAAGTTATATTTTTGTCTAGTATTCATGTTATAGACATCAGAATTTAATTTGAATTTTTCTTTGTTGTAAACAACAAATAAGAGAAGCGATAATATGTATTGCGATTGAAGAGGTAGAATTTTTATAATTTCTTAAATAATTCTCTACATGAATCTCTACTTCTACATCCTGTAATGATTCTAATTATATTCTTTTGTATTTTAAAAATTATTACACTATGTGAAGAGTTCCCCCAAAATATTAATCCATAGTTCATAATAGAATGAAAGTAGGCATGGTAAACCATCTTCAATGTTTCCTGTGACATAAAAGGCTTAATTGATCTCATCGCATAGCAAGCTGCATTTAATTTAGGTATAATTTGTTCAATATGTATTTTCCAAGACAGTGTACTGTCTACATGTATTCCAAGGAATTTTGTATCAAGTACTTTACAGATTAATTTGTTGGCATAACTGATGTCCAGATCAATTTGGTGGTTGTTTTTAGTTGTGAATGATATGTAATGGGTTTTATCAAAATTTAATGAGAGTAAATTGGCTTCGAACCATCTGTTTAAGGCTTCAAATACAATATTTATGTCATTTTTAAAGTTTTCAAATTTAGAGTTCTTAAATATTATACTAGTGTCATCTGCATATAGAATTGGTTTAGATTTATTGTTGATGGTTTTAGATAGATCATTTATGTAGAGAAGAAAAAGTAAGGGACCTAAAATTGATCCTTGTGGAACACCGTGCTTTATAATTCCCCAGTTTGAAAATGCATTATGACTGGAGTTTTTATTATTTATTTCAACTCTTTGATACCTGTTTTTGAGGTATGATTTGATCCATTCATTAGCTTTGCCAGTTATTCCATAGAAATTTAATTTCGATAGTAAGATATCATGATTAACACAATCGAAAGCTTTTGCTAGATCACAGAAAATCCCTCCCACAATTAATCTGTCATTGAGAGCACTTAAAATATCGTTAGTTAGTTCATAGGTTGCTTTTTCTGTTGTTAGGTCTTTCCTAAATCCAAATTGCTCTTTGACTAATATGTTGTTAGAATTTAAGTGTTCAAGTAGTCTATTATACATAACTTTTTCAAAGACTTTTGAGAATGAAGTCAATATGGATATTGGTCTGTAATTAGAGATGCATTTTCTCTCTCCTTTTTTAAAAAGTGGTTTCATTACAGCGTATTTTAAGCGTTGAGGAAAAGTACCTGATGATAAAGATTTATTACATAGATGATTCAAGGGTGAACTGATGTAAACAGAGCTTGCTTTAAGTAATTTGGTAGAGATTTCATCATATCCATGTGAATTTTTGGGCTTAAGGGATTTAATAATGTTTTCAATTTCCTTCCTTGTTGAGAATTTGAGATTGATATTTGGAAATGAATTGTTAAAGGCACGAGACAGATAGTATATTGGATTATTATTATTATTATTATTATTATTATTATTATTATTGGAATATGTTTTCTCAGCTAATGAAAGGAAATATTCATTAAATGCACTTGCGATAGCTTGTGGATTGTTAGTGGACTTCCCTTCAATATTCAAACTTTGTACGTCTTCATTAACAGATTTCTTTCCTGATTCAACTTTCACAATATCCCAGGTGGTTTTAATTTTATTGTTTGATTTTAGAATTTGGCTGTTATAGTTATTCTGTTTGGCTTCTTTAATGACTTTTGACAAAATTTTACAGTACATTTTGTAGTGACTTTTTAGTCTTGGATCATTACTGTCCCTACTGGCCAAATATAGTTGTCTTTTGTGTTTACATGAAGTTTTTATTCCAATTGTTATCCAGGTGGATTTGTTTTTATTTTCATTTTTGACTATTTTTAAGGGAAAGCTTGAATAAAAGATCCTCAAGTATGTGTTTAGAAAGCAATTAAATTTAGAATCAATATTATTGCTGTCAAATACATTGTCCCATGATTCATTACTTATTTTGTGACAAAATCTGCCATCGTATGCTTGTTGATTTTCCTTACTGTTTGATGTTGATTACTGGGCTGAAGGTCAATATTATTTATTTCTATGAGTTGAGCATCATGATCGGATAAGCCATTTATAAAGGGTCCTACAGTATAGTCTCTTAATTTTGATTTTGACATGTATCGGTCAGATACAAAATATTTAGCGACGTACAGTTCAGTACAGTGTTGCAGAAAAAGAGGAAATATGCAGCAAGTGCAGAAGGGAATTACCAGTGTCATTATGTTCATCGGTTACAGGTTTGCAACAGAGTGACAGTACAGTTGTAAACTCCCTTCAAAGGATTGAGACAAGGAACTAAATAACAAAGGCACAGTGGTGAAATGAATGAGACAGTATATTGGCTTGAAAGAAAATCTCCAGTCTCTTGGTTCAAAAGAACATTGCATGAAATTAATATCCACAGAAAGCTTGAAAGATATCCTGAAGTTCTGAAAATGAAATTTGTACCGCAGTATTTGGGGGGGGGGCAAATTAGAGGTTTGAGATGAAAAGATCAAAATTCTGACATTGCCTCCAAATATGTGGAAGACGTGCAGAATTGAAAATTTGGAGCATCAAACTGCATGTTATGGAAATAAAAGCAAACAGGAAAGAACATGTGCTTGTAGCATAGTGCCTTAACCAACAATGCTGCCGCATGCCATTGAGCGTGAGCCTGAATAAGATACAGGATCGAATAAGTGAAAAGACAAATATCATTGCGTGTAATTATACAGCTGCGTTCGTACACCTGAGGATGACCTCTTGAGGTCGAAACATGTAGTGTAATAATAATAAAAATATGTTGTGTATTCGGTAAAATTGACTCTAATATTAATAAATAGATACCCTGAAGAAAAACACAGAGGCACATATTGACGCTAGTAAGGAGGTTCTAGAAGTAAACAGAAAACTATGTTGATGTCCCATCACCAGAATGCAGGGAAAAATCATAACATAAAGATAGCTAATAGATCCTTTGAAAATGTATCACAATTCAAATATTTGGCAATGACAGCAAGAAATCAAAATTTTATTCATGTGGAAATTAAGAGTAGAATGATTTTCAGTGATGCTTGCTGCAATTCAGTTCAAAATCACTGGTCACTCCATCTGCTGTCTAAAAATATAAGAATTAAAATATACAAAACTATTAATTTTGCCTGTAGATTTGTGTGGATGTGAATTTTGGTCACTGATATTAAAGGAAGAACGTAGAATGAAGGTATTTGAGAATACGGTGCTAAGGAGAATATTTGGACCAAAGAAGGGTGAAGCAATGGGAAGTCGAAGAAAACTGCATAATGAGGATCTTCATTACTTGTACTCTTCACTAAATATAAACAGAGTGATGAAGTCAAGGATGAGATGGGCAGGGTATGTAGCACGAATGGGGGCGAAGAGGACTTTATATAGGACATTGGTGGGAAAGCCAGAAGGAAAGAGACTATTGAATGTATAAGGGGTGAGCCGTCTCGGCTCTTGCACCGCGACCTACAGTGATCAATTGTGCTTAAAGAGACCAATAGGAAGACCAATGTTAAAATGGATCGTAGAAAAAAACAATGCCGTTGTATAGACTGGATTGATTTGGCTCAGGATAGGGAGTGTTGGAAGGCCCTTGTGAATATGGAAATGAACTTTTGCATTCCGTAAATGTTGGGATATTCTTGAGTTCATGAGCAACTAAGCGACAAACTGCATTTCAAAGATTCCGCTCCGTGCAGTTCCTTCAAGTGGCTTAGCGATCACCGACGGCCTCTGCTGTGACAAATTGGAATTACGCGATTGCTATGCCCGAGCCTGTGTTAAGTTTCGTTTGAAGATGTCTCTACTTGCTAATCGCTCCTACACCCTCATGGTCCGTGGCTTATACACCTCCATGAATTGGCTTGCCTACGATGCGATCTGTTGTTGGCACTTTGTGCTCCCTGATGTGAATATAGACTGTTATCTATCATTTAATAATGAGTTTTATCTATGTTTGGTATCTTCTGTGGATCCGTGGTCCGTTGTTACAACGGTGTCAAGTTGGCCATGATGTTTATATTGTGATAAGTAGATAAATAATTTCATATAAATCAGTTAAGTATTGCATTTTTTAATAAAAGCTTGTAGTGCTGCGCTGTACATTAAAATACGTGGAGTACTATGATATACGGTTACGAAAAACATTCTTCTCACTACAGTTTTAAAAGACGGTACTTCGCTATCATATGAACAGCAGGGAAAATATACCGTTTCATTGCATAATAATATACGTACCGCAGCACTAATAGTAATGCTTACAAACATTGGGATCTATATTAAGTAACTTTCAATTGCGTTAGGTTGTAATTTCAGTTGAGGTATGTTTTTTTTAATACTACTCACGCTATTGTTTTAATAGCTTATGAAACCGTGATATAATTTTCAGTGTCACTGCCACATGGCATGATAGACAGCGTCGATAACATGAAGATGGAGCCATCAAGCCCAACAGATCGTGATCGTTTTCCGTTTTCACGTAGCAGTAGCACAGGATCTCTTCACACACTGTCCTCATCTGCCCCCAACTCAGGTGAGGGCCAGGGAGGTGTGGCCACCGGGAACATGAGTAGCAGCAGTGGTCATGGTAATTCATCTGTCATCAAACTTGTGGCATGGTGCACGTTCATGATCCATTTGTATAGAAACTTATTTAGATTATGACCAGATATTTTGCCATTTTCGCGGTAATGCACCCACACATGAGAATAAGTGCAGGGACCAAATAATGGACACAGAACTGGGAGAAAATGTCATTAACAGGCAGAGCCTCATGACATTTTACGAAAAATAGTGATAAGTTTGGACTCTGCAAAATGTCTCAGCCAACAGTTTGTAGCATTATTGCTGTTGGTTGACAGAGTGAAGACATCTGCTGGTGAGTAGCTGCTATAGCAAAAGAAAATCATTGGCTGTTACATGATATAAATGGAGGTTCTGTCCGTAGTTGAAAAATATGTTTGGTAAGGCCACTTTATTTCTGTGATTTTACAGCAGTAGTAGTAATTTTGGACTGTGTTTGTCACAGAATGCCTTTCTTCATATAAAATTCTCGATAAGAAATACACAACATTTAGTACTATATCTTATCATGTTTGAACACACGTATATGTACAAAGAGTGCTCATAATTGGATGGTCACAAGAACAAGTATTCAGTAATTTATGGAAGTTAACTGTGCAGTTATCATAGCAACAACCTTGTAAATGGAGTGTATTTACCATGATGTGATTTATCTTCTGGAATATAGTGCTTTGCAAAAAAGAATTGAACCCGCAACCTTCTGGCCTGTAGCATAATGCCTCAAGCAACTGCTACCAGTGCAATGATTTGCCCCCAACAGAAGATATGAATGAGATGTGGCACCAAAATCGGAATACACATGTAGTTTGGTAGATGCGTACTAGTGTTTGGAGGCTTGTGCTGCCTCCGTCTTCAGGGTAGAGTGCATACACAATTGTTTATCTATGTAAATTTGTTAGTACTTATTGATAAGACTGTTGATACATCTGATGCCCATTAATGAAACGCATTGGAGAATGTATAATAACAGTGATGAACCTACCATAATGAATTGAATAAGTGATAATAATAAATAAAATTATTTTAATAATAATGTCACATGAGCAATGGTTGTGGGGGCCATGCACATCTCTTTTTCTGGGGAAAGTTGAAGAACGTCTTCTCACATGATGCAGAGCTGCTGGTTGTTGAAGTTTTATGAGAACTGTCTGGAATCATCCTGGAGTGTGAGCATATCCATAAAAGCTGCCAAAAGAGTGTGACAGGACACTCTTAGATTCAGTCTGAGTGTTAGTTGAGTGTGGAAAGCTAGTGCAGACATGTGTTGAAGCAGATGTGAATTAGTTCATGCCTTGAATTGCAAGTTAATACAGTGTGATATGCAAGCAGAGGACAGTGCAGTGAAGGTACAGTGAAATGAATGGAAAGGAAAGAACTGACATCAAGTTCATAGGAGGCTACTGATCGTGAGACAATAACCGTTCCAAATAATGATAAATATTGTAATAATATTGATAGTAATAGTAATTCAGTTCAATTCAATTTGTGTTTATTTACGTGCAAACTTAACAGGACAGAGGCCAATTACAAAATTAGCACAAATAGAGAGAAATGCACAAAAATAATTTAAAAAACAATACAAAATATGATAGTCTACATTAATTACAAAGTGAGCATGAATAAACATACAGAAACAAACGCACACAGACAAAGCCATAATATGACAGTGAAGAACAATTCGAGTTTCAGATAGAGCAGTATACAATAATAATAATAATAGTTTAATTAATTCAATATAAAATATGTGTCAACAACAGAGTTTTTGGTCCAAAGAAGTCAACGTCCCTACAAACAACATTAGCAGCAGAAGCGTATCGAGCAGATGGGCAATTTTTACTAACAGAACAAACATTGAACGTAGGAAAGTCTCGGATATATCGAACAGGGACCCGAAGGCCAACAATTTCCAAAGCAGAAGGGCAAAGTATAGAACCATGATAAACAACAACAATAACAATAACAACAACAATAATAATAATAGTAACAATAGCAGTAGGTTTCTGCAAAATGTTGATATTTACTTACAGTGCCATAATCTAGAAGGCCATGTTATAAATTTTCATTCAGTGCCATGAAAACCTTAAATTTCACATTGTAAGTATACTTATAAAACTGCATGACAGCTGTCAGTTTCAAATGAAATAACTTCTTGGAAGTAATGGTAATAAATATGTATAATACTGTAGCCAGATTATTTTAATTAACTGATTGTGAGAACAATAGATATGTGCCAGATGGTGTGAGGCCCAATCCATCAATGAGGCTGACTGTTAGTTCTTGCTCCCATGTCTAACCTCTCATAGGTAAGATGGGAACACCTATGCACTTTGAAAATTCACTCATCAACATGTTAATGTTTGAAATGGAGGATGACGATGGCAATCTGTTTGACTGGTGCCTGCAGACATGGAATAGAACTGGTAAATATTGTTAGAGCTTGTTGAAAGGGATTGAATGACATTTCATTGTAAACTCATATGCATAATTGTTCCTTCAAATAAATATATTGTTTTGCTTTAAAACTTACAATTTATGAAATACTCAGTAGATAGAAGAAAAATGTTTTGGGGAAACCTGTACATTTTGTTAAGATTTTACTACTGGCTAATCTTCTTGGGCCAATAAACTTCTGCATGGTATAGGGCTATGCAAATTCCTTTTACAAGGAAGCATTCGGTCTGTTTGAAAAGTAAAATGTAGTAACAGTATCCATACACATCCTCTCAAAATTAAAGAAGTATAGCTGTTCTAAATTAATTAATTGTGATAACTCTGTAATTCTGAAAATTAGTGACTTGTGTGTCACCTGGTTGAACTGAAAACATCGTTATTATAAAGAATGTCATCTTGTGAGATATGGCACCATGTGGATCTAGTGTAAACCGACGTTTCAGAGGAATGTATCACCTCCATCTTCAGGGTGGAAAAATTTGCGAGTGAGGAATCAGTGTGAGCAGGTGGCTGCAGACCAAAACGTCAGTTTACACAGTATCTACACGGCACCATATCCAGAAGACATCATTCTTCATAGTCAACGCCACGAAAACCTCAAATCTTACATCATTATTATGCACTAACTTCATAACTTGTACTCTTCTCCAAGTATAATTAGAATGATGAAGTCAAGGAGGATGAGGTGGGCAGGTCATGTAGCACAAATAGGGGGAAACGAGGAATGCATATAGGATATTGATGGGAAAGCCGGAAGGATAGAGACCACAGGGACGACCAAGGCGTAGGTGGGTGGACAGTATTAGAATGGATCTTAGAAAGGATGGGATGGTATGGATTGGATAGATCTGGCTCAGGATAGGGACCAGTGGAGGGCTCTTGTGAACACAGTAATGAACCTTTGGGTTCCATAAAATGCTGGGAAATTCTTGAGTAGCTGCAGAATTGGCAGCTCCTCAAGAAGGATGAAGCTCCATGAGTAAGTAAGTAAGTAAGTAAGTAAGGTTGGTTCTCATGAAATCTGATATGAGCTTCATGCTATTCAGTAGTCCCCGCTAGATAATTTTTAGCTATTATCATCAGTATCTCCACAGTAATTGTGTGAAGTTGTGAGATGGAAGCATACTATAATCTTCTATAAGCATAACCACATGGTATGTGATGAAATTTGTGTGGGGCATGTTGTGGACACATTGTAACGTGAATATCAGTATAGCTTCTGAGGTGTTAATCTGAATGCGTAAATATAACACATCACTTTTAAAATGTGTTCTTCATTAGTTTTTTAGCTACATTGAACTAGAGGCTGCATTCAGATGAACTTCTGACTTCCAGCAAATGGAAAATCTATATAATATACACTGAATGGCAGTTGTAGCAGGTTGAAATTTATGTATTTAGCCAGCCATCTTGCTGAGAAACTGAATGGACACTGGAAATATTTGAACATTCCAGTGTTTTCAGAATCTTTGATATCATGTGTTATGGTCTTGTTCACATATGGAACAGAATAGGACTTAACAAATGACATAAATGGCTGGTTTCTCCGACATATCTTGACNCAAGGGCATTTCATAAAGTTTTACATTTCAGTACTTCTTTTGGCTTATTTTGGACTTCATCCATCGTCTGGTATGTAAAAGACAAAATACCACGGCGTTTCGGAGACTGGATCTGTGTCCGTCTTCAGGTGGGTAGGGAAGGATAAACCTACTCAGTTGGGCCCGTTAGAAAGAGCTAGTCTCAATCACTGGACGTCGTGGTCTTTTGTCTTTTACATACCAGATGATGGATGAAGTCCAAAATAAGCCAAAAGAAGTATATCTTGACAGGTTTGAATTTGAAACTCTTTTTCTTTGGTACATTTTTTCCTTGTAAACCTGAAAGGTAATAATTACACATGTGATTGGTTTTTTCTCAGTTTAACACGTTTCCTATTCACTCATTCACCTCTGTCAGTAATGCAACTTAAAAATGTTCACAGTCTCTCCCTAATTTAAAGTAACATTGAAATCACATCAGTTGCTACATATTTTTTGCCTTACTTGTCCATATTAAAGCAATTGTTCACTTTCTGAAACCGATGCACTGCGCTAGATTTTAAGTTGTTATATTTCCATGCTTTTGCATTATTGTTGTTCACAATAAAATTGGTTTCTTTAAGAACAAAACTCTCTGTCTGTTCCACGTTATTTTCCTTTTGTGGCGTCTGTGTTTGTGCTACCTTTGTATGTTCGCACTAGCTGGGCATATTTTATTATGAACATCGATAATGCAATAGCATGGAAATATATTGACTTGAGATCTACTGCAATGTTAGTTTTAAAACGTGAACTGTTGCCTAAAGATGGCCAAGTAAATCGTACACATGTAGCAATTGATGTGATTTTAATTATTTTAAATTAAAAGAGAGATGGTGAACATTTTTAAGTTGCGTTAAATACATAGGTGAATGAGTTCGTGATACATCAATGTAGCAGGATGCTCAAAAATAATGTAACATTTCCTTCTGTTAATAATTCAGGTGTTTTATTTCCATAATTTTTCATCTCTTTGCATAGTCTTTACTAACTCTTCATTGATATTACCTACTTTTATATGTTTATTTTGATTTTTGTATAATAAAAGTAAAGGTTTAAGGAAGAAGTATATTTTACAAGAAATTAAAAATCTTGACATTAGGGGCTGAGGAAAGCCTAGGGGTCAGCCTTTTAGTCGTCGTCATCATCATCATCATCATCATCATCATCTGAAAGTAGTTATTGTACAATTGTTTCAGATGATGAGGACAGTGACAACAAGAGCTCAACAATCAGCTACAAGGAACGACGACGTGAGGCTCACACCCAGGCTGAGCAGAAGCGTCGGGATGCCATAAAAAAGGGCTATGACTCATTGCAAGACCTTGTCCCAACCTGTCAGCAGACAGACAGCTCTGGCTACAAGCTCAGCAAAGCCACTGTTTTACAGAAGTCAATTGATTACATTCAGGTAGATACCCTAAGATGTGTGATCAGTAGATTCAGCACCTGGGCTTGACCCAGTGCCAGGAAGTTTCATTGAAATACATGATGGTTCCCCTGTCAGGTGATGCAAACTGACAGACTCTTTAGCATTGCTCTCTAACAGTGTTGGTGCTACAGGATTTGGAAAACAGGTTCCCAGTGAAGGCAGAAAAGCTTTGATGCATATGATTTACATTCAGAAGATGATGGTTCAAATTCAAGCCAGGGATCAGCTACAGTTATAGCAACAGAATGTTTTTTTTATGGTTTTCTTGTCATGCATGTGAATTCTGAGACAGCACTGTTTCCAGTTCATGATACCTAATCATTTTGTCACAGCATGCATGTATAAAAAAAACCTCTGCAGTTAATACATTGAACCGCAAAAGAATCAACTACACTTGCATATAGCATGAGGAAATTGCTGCATGTATTCTGTTCATCACTGCTGTGTGCAGATCAGCACCTGGGCTCACATATGTGCCAAGAGGCTGAGGTGATGGGAATGTGGTGCAGAGGTTTAAAAATGCATGAAGCTTTACGTACTTACTGTATACCTTCATGCCTGGCATCAAAATTATCATCTTGTTATTCATGTGAAAGCACGGGGACTCTCATAAAATCTTACCCACCCCGATGCCAATTATCGGCACATGATGTACTGTTTTCTGAAACAAGGTTCAAGAACTAGAATCATAACAGTATAACCATTGGGTCCAAAATGATGAAAAGTGTACAAAAAATTATATTCATTGTATTTTTGGTGTAGTTATTAGGTTTAATTTGAATAACTGATTTGGATTTGATGTTTGATATTCTGACATTCAAAATAACTAGTGTTGTTGAGATGACTGTTGCCTAACTAGATTAGGTTTCAGTTCAGTAAAGGGAGGTAAGAAACATTGGTTCTTGGATTAACTATAAGGAAGAGACAGGAAATCATATCAGTCAAATTATATTCATATAAAGGTGACAGATTGATTTTATGGACTTGCTGTGTAACATTTCCCTTTGTCCACCACAAAACCTTCAGTTTGTTGATACCCTTACTTCAGAAAAACTTTATATACTTCAGAAGTATAAACCCACCAGTCAAAACATGCTATCATTATGTAGTAAATGTCGGTATTACGTTAGAATTTGGTTGTCTCCATTGGAATTGTGTTCTTCAGTTTCTTCTGCAGCAGAAGAAGAAGCAGGAGGAGGAGCGCAATGCTTTGAGGAAGGAGGTGGTGGCATTGCGCATCATGCAGGCCAACTATGAGCAGATAGTGAAGGCACACCAGAACCAGCCTGGTCAGGCTGAGATGAGAGTGTCTGATGAGACAAAATTTCAAGTGGTAAGTGACTCCTGCCCCCATATGAATGTTGGATTTGTGTAATTTATATCGCATGTCAGATGCACAGGTACTGGGACACAAGGGATGGGCCCAGCCATGCCTTCCTAGTCTTAGGGGCCACCTTCTTCCTTCAGAAACCCCAAATTTTACTTAAAATATTAATCTCATCAACATATCACCTTAAATACAATCATACAGGTACGATTAAGAGAAAAGATAAATGTATGAAGATGAGGAAAGAAACCTATCATAAGAAGGTGACTAGAGGTTACCTAGTGACTGAGATTTTTCATAATTTAACTTTTCATTTCTGACACTTGTTCAATGAAGACAGTTACAGTATGAGTCGTATTCTATGTACAGTCAACTCTCGATTATCCGGGGGCGGATTAACCGGTTTGCGGCTTAACCGGGGCTACTGAGGCTTTTTTGAGGCTTATATGTTGTTTAATATTCATTCACTTTTGTTTCACATGGTGAGTTGTAACACTATTTTCGCACTAGTGTGAACCGAGCTCTGCATTCTTTGGTCCCGTTATGCTAACACAATGTTCTAGGGTAGGGGTGAAAGAATGCAAGGATTTGTGGAAAGTTTCAAGGACAGGTACAACGCCCCAGTTAGTTTCTTTGTATCGATCTTCAAATGCGTTAGCAAAATGTCAGGGGGTAAAAGGAAGCATGTTGTGATAAGTATTCAACAGAAAAAGGAAAATGCAGCGAAAAAGTAAACGACAATATTACATTTTTTTTAAGCGTTAAGTGTGAACATTCGTAAAAAGTGTTGGATGTTGTTGAAGATTGTGATTGAAATAACTAATTCATACTTCAGTGTAATGTAAAAAAAGTATTAAATAGGCCATGAGATGACATAAAAATGAGGTTGAATAAATTTAAATACAGGTAGGCCTATAGTATTATGAAGGTACAGTATTACAGTACTACTTTTAATAAAATTTATCTTAACCGGGTTTTCGATTAATCGTGATTTCCATCCCCACCATTATCCCGGATAATCGAGAGTTGACTAGTTAATGTCCTTCACAGGGAATACAAAATTAAACTATGATTTATAATTAAGAAAAATCTTTCTGCCCTGTCGTGTTTGTTTTGAAAATAACTGCATATGTATCCTGCTTGCTTCTGCTATGCGGTTATTCATAATTTATGCTTTGTGTGCTATTCTTGACAGCAGAGTACACACGCAATCCCTCTTGACGCTTAACACAGTTATTAATTGTATGCATGCACTTTCTCTGAGCTTATTGCAAGTGACAGTGCAACCTACTGCCTTTCCTGGTATGTGCTTGTTATGCCTTGGTTCATGGTAGCTGCAGATTCTGTAGGAAATAGATTTATTCATGGAAACCACATAGAAGATCTTGACGGTGTTTAAATAAATTGGTGCTGGTCATGTGGAGTGGATTGAACAATCACAGGCTAAGATGTGTGTGTCATCAAATTATTGTTTTCTGTTGCAGTTTCAAACAGTGATGGATCAGTTATTCCTCACATTCAGCAACATTTCTGTTGCCAACTTTGCAGAGCTCTCGGCTTGTGTCATCAGCTGGCTGGAGGAGCACTGCAAACCACAGGTAGGAATTCCTTCACTGATCTTAAAATTAAGCTTGCTGTCAGTGCATGCCATTTAATATAAATCATATAATACCATCAAGTGCAACTAATTAGGACATGTTCTCTTTTGTCTACAGTTTGTTTTGTGTTAAACCTGCCATGTTTTGACTTTTCAGGGAAGTCGTCTTGTGAAGCAAATCATGTCCTTGATGAATATTTTGCAGAAAGTCAAAACTTGAGAGGTATAACACATAATAGTAGATTGTAAACAAAATATAACTTGGCAGTATACTGGACTATTAATTTTCTTGACCCTTTAACACTAGACATGTTAAAATGCTTATGTTCTGCATGCTGCACATCAACAGAATCTTATTACTGCTTGTGCTAACTTGCTTGGTTTATACAGTGTGAATGAAAGAATAACAAGCATAAAACCTCATAAGGTATCAGTTGCAGTATACATTGTTTAGGTGTGTGAAATGTGATGCAGAACATATTGCCTACAGCTGTACACTGCTGATAAGGGATGAGAGGCTGTAAGCTCTCCTTAATGTTGCTGGGTCAGGCTACTGTTTATAGCAACAGTGAGATGAAAAAGACTATGTTGAGGGGAGCCCAGCATTTGTATGAGCTATGAAGAGCACATCTTATTGAAAATTACATATGATGATACTTTTTAGAAACATTATGGACTTCAAGCATTGTTTTCATTTTATGTAGGTTTATAAGTTTCCCATATTTTCTTTCTTCCCACAGTTTTCTTCTACAGTTTCTTTCCAATCCTCTCTTCTTAGTGTCTTCCAGTGCCTGGCTAACCATCTGGCTGTGGGTCATCTCATAGGTTTCTTTCCTTTAGATTTTAATTCTGTTGCTCTTCGTGATATCCCTGTTTTCTTCATTCTTCCTTTATGGCGCAAGCATTTATCATCACTTCTCATCTGACTATAAAAAATATTAAAGGTATTCCTGTAACAGGCTGTGGAGGCCCATAGGGTTGTGAGATGTTGAGGTTCCCACATTTTTTAGACAATCAGCTCATAGATGGTGGCAAGGTTGTCAGCCTTATGCACCACCTGCCCTTTACCTCCAAGAACGTTCCAAGAATATCCCTGGTACTCATTTCTGTTAGAGCCTGAGTCAACCCCAGGGCGATAATGTGGCTGGAAGCAGGGCAACTGAAAAAAATCCAGTGACCTCATTGGGTCTTGAACCCACAACCTTCCGGCTTGTAGTATAGTGCCTCAACCAACTACGTTACTGCATGCCCCTCATCTGACTATTAAAGTTTTAATTTCACCTCTAAAATTGTTCTGAATTTTGTTCCCTCTTGTTTTTACCTCAGTACTTCTCAGAAATTTGACACCCATTCTTTGGATTTTGCTTTTGTTTCTCTTTGTGAGGGTCCATGTTTTGGCATTGTTTTGGGATATATCTGTTCATAATATTCCTATTTTATATTTTTCTTTTAATGTTTCCATCAGTCTTCCCTTCTGAATTTCTGTCCATCTGTTTAACTGTTGTGTCATTAACTTTTATTTTGACATGTGTTCCATTTTTTGAAATCCTCATAGTTATTTTCTTGTCCATATTCCACATTGATTTAGTTTCACTTTAGTTTCCTGTTCATCTTTCTACCAAATCAACATATGATATGCATGTATTGTGTTTTGGAACAGTTATAGTTTCACTGGCAGTAGCTACTTAAGATGCTGACATCAATTTGTCTTGTCTACCACAGTTTCATTTTAATGCCACTGCTGTGTACTCTTATTGCATTTTGTGCTGAACAAACTTCTGAGCCACAGCTCTCTGCATCATGTATACACATGCCCACACTCTGCTGCTCTGAAGCTAAGACTGAGACATTTCTTTTCTTAAATGGCAGCCACAGCTGTGATAAAATGATCAAGGTGGTCCTCCATTTTTCTTGAAGGGTTCAGGAGAGAAGGGAGGGAAAAGGAGTTTCAGTGTGTTCAGAAAAGAGAGGAGCTCACAGATGCCACCTCCCATACCTGCATTCAGCTCATGCAACAGTATGATTCCACTCTGGATCATAAGTTGGAATATTTACAGAGGTTAACACAGTCACAGTTTGTAACAACAAAAGGTTAAATATGCTAGCCACACAGTCTTGATAGGAAAAGTTTAAAATCACATTTAAATAGTACATTTTCTCCTAAAGTAAAAACCCAGAATTTATATGACTCTCAGGTTACAAAGTATAAGATTGTAGATGGTGTTCATACCAACACTTATGCCATTGCAAGTCAAATATAAATATGTGTATACAACTTGGTTGACTTTAATGAATTATGGCAGTCGTATGTTGATGCCGACTAACCTTTATATGTTATTAACTGTTGTGATTGAGAGTTCAGTGTTGAGTACTGGAAAACATCTTTGAACTTAAAAGTACAGAATGTGTAGACTCTGACATGGCTTGACTGGATCGTAACAAACAGCAGCAGTTTTCTGTCACAAGTCCTGTGCCTCTTGCTTCAGGCACTTCACCAGCTGGTTGTCTCCATCCTGCAACAGTTGAATTCCCAGATGATGCAGGGCAACATCCGAGGATAACTGAGTGTATGTACGCAAAGCATTTATGTTACTTTGTTTTGTTGGACAGACTGGTGTGTGAAGTGGCACACAGAACTGGGGAGTGCCAAGTGCAATTCCAACACATGTTCAGACTCTTTGACCAGTTTCCTTCTGGTCAGTCAGTCTGTCATAATTTCAGCATCAGTTAGACTGATGGCACAAGACTTGCATAAGTGCCGCTATCAATTATCATTTGTTCTTTGAGCATAAAATGAATGCATAAAGGGGAAGTTGTGACCCTTCATCACTTGATGACAGTTTGAATTCATTGCTATCAGGAAAATGTATTGTTGATTCATACTGGCCAGTATTACCAATTCTTTATATCAAGCTTAAAAATGGCTTATCATTAAGAAAGATAGAATATGGCATAAGATGTAAATGCCATTAAGATCTGCAAGTTTTGTTTGAAACATTTTTGATATTGTGAATATTTAACAAAATACAAGAGAAAATAATTTCTGACTCTGTGCAAGTCATATAAGGCTTTGCAACAATAGATTTATATCTGCAGTAATTGAACACACTTGTATTGATCTCTGCATCTGACATTTTCTATTTCAGGATGCAACTGTTATATGATAGTAGACATACTTGCCATTCATAGTAACTATGCCATAGCTCAAGCGGTTAGTCTCTGGCTTCCCACCGCGGTGGCCCGAGTTTGATTCTGGGTCTGGTCAAGTGGGATTTGTGGTGGAGAAAGTGGCGCTGGGGCAGGTTTTCTCAGAGTACTTTGGTTTCCCCTGCCATTCTTCATTCCATCAAATTCACCATCATCATAATCACCCGGGGCAGGCTACAATAGGCCAATCAGTGGCCGCCATGCCAAGTGGACCCAGTTGGACTCCACCCCCACTAAGCAAATTAAACAAAAAGTAAAGTAGTATTACCCTTCATAGCCACTGCTGTGAGAGTCTCAAATGATACAGTACCTAACATACCTCTCTAACATGCACCCTTGATCATGGTCCTAGAATTGAAACATGTTGGGGTGAATGTAACTATAGATTCATGTATGTTGTATTTGGATATTGTATCTGTCATTTGATTACTGTAATTTTACAATGAGTAGAATAAAATAAAGTAACATAATGTCTACTGGAAAGTTGATTATGACAATTATAATTCACACTTTTGCTTCAGGAGTTCTGAGCACAATGTAATTTATTGTTGAAAATGTGTTTCTCTTTTACTGCTATGATTAAAATTTGTAAGTGTAAGGATGTCAGTCTACTGGCTGCAGCTTCCATGTGGTTGCAGTTACATATCACCAGAAACTATGCTTGACTTCACAATGTTGATAGTTTTTATGATTTCTGAATAACATCATTTCTCCCTCAGATAAGTTCAGATTTACTGTCCATGTAAGAATATTATTGGATAACAAGCTACTCTCATCACAGATTTGTGCCTTTCCTATTTGCCAACCCTAATTAATTTTTTGCATTTTGTGACTAACCATTTTACCCCATGCTCCTTCTCTGAACCAGCTTTGAACACTCACTGCTCAAACGTTTGTTTCCGCTTGTAGAGTACACTGTCCTTGATACAAACGCAAAACACTGTCTTTTTATCTAATAACTTCTGTCTTCTCTACAACAGCCCTTAACAGGTCACCCTCATTGAGCAGCCTTTCAACATCTTAAATTATGCTTGCCAGAGCACTGAAACCTGTAACTGAAACAGAATAACATTAATGTATAGTTAAAATACGAGTACTGTGATAGATGAATATGACAGCCAAATCATGTCGTAGACCATGAAATGAGCCTGCATTATAGAATGTGATCTTGTGTAAAGTGCACTGTGCTGTGTTAATTGCCATTACATGTAACTGTGTGCTTATATTTATTTCCAGAGGACAGAGCTGTAAAATGGCATGGGTCAGCATATATGCTCGAAGCTGTGCCTACTTTGAAGCATTCAGTGAACTGAGTTACCACTGTGAAGGTAACATTTATCTTTCAACCACAGGGCACATCTAAGCAAGTTTTCACTGTATATTTTGTTATATTGATATTGAAGGTTGTGAAGTACAAAAAGTAGTTGCAGTAACAAAGTAATATGTTACATATATAAGTGTGCAATTTGTCTGCCTCTGTTGCCTATCTTTTGTTTATAGACCACTGTTTAGAAGTGTATGTTGATGCATATGAAATTACATTTATTCTTTATGTAAATATTTTAGAGTGATAAAATTTAAAATTGAACCAAACTTAACAGTACTTATTACCAGGTTTCTTTGATAACATTATCCTCTCCTTCTTGTCTATTGTTAACCCTTATCTACAAGAGCATTATGACAAGGGTTAGTGCCATAGAAATTCCACTGTTAGATGGAATTTTGGGCATGATTACTGGTTAGGACCTTAAATGAAATGATTGGTATGTCTGTTGTGTCCAAGCACACCTGAAAGTTTTCTTCCTTCCTTCCTTTTTAAGCAATTAAAATGTATATTATTCTCCCTGAACCTCTGTCTTCTCCTCCAGCCCACTGAGTAATTTTGAAATTACCTATGTTGATTACAAAGCACCTACATTCATTTCTAACCATATTTCACGAGCCTTTTCTCTTTTAACATTTTCCCTGATCAGGTGTAACCACAGATTTCCAAGTTTCCTTTTGATTATTTTCCTATCAACCACATTGCTACGTTTTATTTTTCTTGTTGGAAGCCTGTGTTATATCACTTTTTCACGTTTCCAAACCATTTTAGATTCCCTGTTCATCCAAATGCTGCCATCACAGCTAGCTGGCAGTCACTGTTGTTGTGCTTTGTCCCAGATGAGGGAAGATATAGGCTGATAGATTACAAGATAGTTAATGGTTTCTGTAAGAGGATTTTACTTGAAATCCGAGTACTTGACATTATTAAATACACAAAAATGTCAACACACATTATATATGAGTGTATGCATTTATGATTTACCAAGTTGCTGTGGTTAGCAAATTATCATGTAACCAAATCTAACTCCACAGAAACATCATTTTACTTTGAAGACAGCTGAAATGAAAGTCTAAAATTCTTTCAAGATCTGTGTTTTTTAATGTAACTGGGTGTTTATTTCTCTCTCCTGCCATGTTTTTATATATCAATGCACAAAAAATTAGCCCTTATAAACTTTCAAATACTTCTGGAAACCCAGCCATGATTACAATAGCAATAATTGTCAATGTTTGCAAATAATTCTTAAATGGAAATGTTGAGTAATTTATTACCCGCATGCCAGATTTAATTGAAAGGTGTACTACACCTCATTGTTTATTTCTGAAGAGTAAAATGATGTAATATGACACTGTAAGGATCTTGTTCAAATGGTTATGTGTAGTCCATGGAATTTTGTTCCTACAAAAAAGTTATAGCCTAATATTAATACAAAAGTTGATGGAAAATGTCCCAAAGGAACTAATTCTGGAAAGTGAGGCACAGTCTACAACACCATTACACAAAAAATGTATGTTACCACAAGATGCAACAGTAGCCATTGCTGCTGAATAATAGATACATTACTGTCACTCTCCCACCAAAAGAATGACATTGACCTAGTAACATCAGCATGAATTGTTACACAGATGTCTGTTTTTTGTTGTTGTTGTTTTATTTATTTATTTAAGAGACACTGGATGCTTACTCCACATCAGTGGGGAAAGGCTGTTTGTGCAGTATGTTGCTCACATTTGTCACATGGATGAGCTACTGGGTTACGTTACTGAATAGTTGCCACTGGTTGTGCTGTTGACCATAGTCTGGCAGCATGTTTGACAAGATACGGATGTTGTCAAACAATAATGCTAACCAGGGCCATAGATACTATGGTGCTAGGAGGCTTTGGAACATGCGTGTCCTCTGCCTACAAGGACCCAAAATTTTGCTGTAAATATGTTCTGGGTCATCACATTTAGCTTCTGATGATAAATATTACTTCAAAAGTATTAATCAATTTGGAATTGCAACCCGCTAACCATCTTGGCCATTAGGAAAACTGATGTGTCCTCAGCAATGAATCATTTCTCCATCCAAGTGCTAATTTCCCATTCTGTGATTGATTATTGGCATTTCAACAACATTTAATCAGTTATTTCATCATTTTCACTCCCTGTAATGTCCAGTTACATATTTTCAAAAGTAATATGGCTTGGTACACTGCTCGCACTATTTACTCCTATTGTACTACTATTACTACTCTACAACTACTACAATTTTTTGTTCTGCTGCTACTACTACTACTACTACTACTACTGCTACTACTGCAGCTATAATAAATATTATAGAACAGTTCAACAAGTGGTTGTCTCTTCAACTCTTTTCATCAAGTTGATTTTTTGTCAACCCAACTTTGGTAAGGTCAGCTAAGGAATTGTTAGTTAACCATATTACCGACTGAGATACTGCTACGTCCCCAACCAATAGATGACAGCACAATAAGTTCATATATCGGTATTATCCATGGTATGCGGTAGTGTATGAGGTGTAAGAGTCCTCTGCGGTGTCATGCCAGTTTGAAAATGTCGACAGGTTCGTTACACGTGATTTTGGAGTTTGGGTAAGTTAATGTTTATTTGTAATTTTTATTGACATCATGCTGATAATCCGTTTCACTTAACTTATGTGAATTCGTGGCTGACCTTTAGTGACATGGTTCATATTTGTGTTTAAATATAAGACTGCTGTACCATGCACGTCAGGATTTATTTTTTTAATTGTCGACGTATATATTCTTTTATAGTGGAGGTGCTGAATTGCTGTTTAATAAAGTGAAGAAGCACGATGTCACCCTTCCAGATTCTAAGGAACCATGTAAGTTGTGAATTCTGGACCTTGGATGTTGGTGAATTTTAGGTTAGAAGTCATATGGATCAGCCTCCCCCACATCTAACTTTAGCTGCTACACTTCTCCTCCAGTCCTCTGAGATATTCTGTGTATAGGAATGTTGGTAGTTATAACTATGTCACACTGCTGGTGACAAGGGGCTGGAGGGGAATAAACAAGTAGGCAGAAAGTCTTAGACACTGTCAATGAATGTAATGGGCAAAATGTTAAGGGTGAAAAAGGAGTGCTAAGAATTGATAGAAACTGCAGTGTGATTCCTTTGACGTAAAGGAACTGGTAATTATCTAAGCGTAAAACAAACTTTGTTCATTCTTGCTTGCTATGGTGTAAATCAAGGGTCTCCAAACTACGGCCTGCAAAAGAATTGTGTAGAAATGCGCCAATTGAACTAATTTTCCAATGAGTACTGGTAAAATAAATACTTGTTCATAGATTTCAAATTCATTAATTAAGATTGTGTTTAAAATATATTGATATTCCATATTATGTTAATATTAATATTATTCACAATTTTACTAGTTCTGGACCGTATACTGCGCGGTATTTCTTCGTAATTGTTCGGCCTCGATCGGCAGTGTCACTTTGTGGCAATGTAAGTAGCGCGAGCAGTTTGTTACTCGCCGCCTTATGCACAAGACTTCTTGCAATGGTGCAGTGTAATTGTAACAGATCATCATCATCATCGCCGGTGTCGTACTTATTACCATTTTTGTATTAAAGGCTACTTATGCCTTATGAGAATTGGTAGCGAGGAATGTTGATAAGGCTACCGGAACTTTAGTCCATTCTACGACAGCTGGTGTGGTACGGCAATCGGTTACCCCTCCCAGCCGACAAAGGATTTTTCCGGAACGTTTCCTAGAGTCATTAATTTCTCATTTTATCCGGCCCATTGAAAGTACTGAATTGCCTAATGTGGCCCGTATTTTGAAAAGTTTGGAGACCCATGGTGTAAATAAAAGTTTGTTACAAACACAAGTGTGGTTTGTATCAATATACAGATACATTCAGTCAGTGCTATGAAGTTATGCTTACAACAGGAAGTACTGCAACTGTGTTGACTTGGTGAGGAACATGTGTACATAAATACAAAATACAGGAATATTAATGGAAAGTAAAGAAAATTTAAACAGTTGGTGTAAAAGGAATCTAAAGTAAACAGAAAGCACACTTAATGACACAGTAATTTTGCTTATGTAATGTTGAATATCACAGGTGGGAATGATGATGTTATTAATGTGTTGGGTAGAAAATTCTTTCCAAAGCCAGAGCAGTAGGCTTTAAGGTAGAAACTATCATTAAGCTACTTAGCAAATGGGCAGTAACCAGATAGCATTCCTGATGCAATCCAGTTGTGGCTATGTAAGCAGTTACCATGAAATAGTTTGTGTCAAGTTACATTTGGTACTTCTTTTTTATTCAGGGACAATAAAGGCTTTACTTACATGGATTAAAGCTAATTTACTGAAGGAACGACCAGAACTCTTCCTTCAGGATGATACAGTGTGAGTAATTTGTCTACTGGAATGGTATGACTTATTATAGCAATAGGAGTCAGGCTTGAAAAGTGTTTGCCTTAATTGAGGAATAAAAAAATAATTTCACAGTGTTTACAGTTTTCAAAATGTAGATGTGAAATACAGGATTTTTAAGAATTAAAATTTTCAAAGACACTAAAGAGTACTAACTGTATACATTTGTATAAATTTACTAATTTTCTTTTATGTAAACCATAAATATAGATGATAGAAAAGTAGCCCTACATGACTGACTGCATTAGTATATAAGATATTGCAGCTGAACATCATGTTGCATTTCAATAGAAGTACATATATGCACTACCACACACATCCTTGTATACAGTTACTTTATTATTAATTATGTAAAGTCTTTTTGTCACTACCTCACCGCCATCTTTGAGCCAATTGTCTAGATAATGTGGAACCCTTAACATCTCACAACCCTATGGGCCTTCATGGCCTGTTACAAGGATAACTTTACTTTACTTTACTTTACTTTTTGTCACTACTGTTTATTTTATTGCTAGTGGGGTGGGACTAAGTTCCTTGTCCTGCAATCACTTCTGGCCTGTTGTACCAGCCTCAGATGATAGGTGAGGGTGATTGTGGAGCAATTGGTGGAATGAAGATTGGCAGGGGAAACCGAAGTACTTGGAGAAAACCTGCCCCAGCGCAACTTTGTCCACCACAAATCCCACTTGACCAGACCCGGGATTGAACCTGGGCCACTGCGGAGGGAAGTCAGTGACTAACCACTTGAGCTATGGCGCAGCCTTTGTCACTACTAACTACATTGTTCAGTCTTAAAGGTTGTCATCAGGCTGCTATAACACATTCATTTAAATGAAACAGCTGTCATGGTTTATGTTTTAAAATATTGGCAGATGTGTTAGTTTCATATTGACTTAAATTTAAAAACTTGTATATAAAAATATTACAAAATTGTTATAGAATTATTTTGAAATACAAGGGATGGACAAAAATATGGGAACACCTTTTGAAATGCATTACTGAATTGAAGTGTTTATTTTAGCGACATTTGTGGGTGACACCATCGTATCTTCCCAATACCGCTACCTGTACAACCTGCACAATACGTTGCAAGCTTTATTTGTTGTTGAGACAGTGTTCTATGCAGGTTTTAGTGCATCATGTCAGTAAAGTAAAGCTCTCCCCGTACCAGGCCGTGAAAGCTCATAGGGTTGTGAGACATTGAGGGTCCCATATTACCTAGACAGTCGGCTCAAAGATGGTGGTAAGGTTGTCAGCCTTACATGGTAGCATAGTTGGTTGAGGTGCTATAGTACAAGCCGGAAGGTCACGGGTTTAACTCCTGATGAGGTCTTTGGATTTTTTCAATTGACCTAATCCTTCCAGCCGCACTATGGCCCTGGGATCGACTCAGCCTCTAACAGAAATGAGTACCAGAAATGAATTAAATAATGTTCCTGGGGAGTAAAGCACAATGGGGGAGACGAGGAATGCGTGTAGGATATTGGTGGGAAAGCCAGAAGGAAAAAGACCAAGGCGTAGGTGGGTGGACAATATTAGAATGGATCTTGGAGAGATAGGATTGGATGGATCTGGCTCAGGATAGGGACCAATGGAGGGTTCTTGTGAACATGGTATGAACCTTCGGATTCCATAAAATGTTGGGAAATTCTTGAGTAGCTGCAGAATTGGTGGCTCCTCCAGAAGGGCTCAGCTCCATAAGTAAGTAAGTAAGTAAGGGGAGTAAAGCACAGCCGGCATCATGTCAGAGCTAACAGAATTCGAACGTGGGCATATTGTTGGGGCCCGTATGGTGGGTGCTTCCATAATCAAGGTAGCCGAGGTTTCTGGTGTTTCATGAGGCACAGTATCCAAGATTATGACCGCATAGGGGAGGACTGGAAGAAACACATCCAATAAACAGCAGCACGGATGGAAATGTGTGTTGAGTGATCAAGACAGACGAACATTGCGTAGGATTGTGACGAAAAATAAGACTACAGCTGCAGAAGTGACTGCTGAACTGAATGTCACGCTCACAAACCCTGTCAGCACCAAACAGTACGAAGGGAACTCCACAAGCAGGGTATTTCTGGACGAACTGCAATTCCAAAGCCACTCATCAGTGATCAAACTGCTACTAAGAGGAGAGTGTGGTGCTGAAGTCAAAACCTGGGCTATGGCACAATGGAAGACGGTCATTTAGTCGGATGAGTCCACCATCACGCTGTTTCCGACTTCTGGCCGAGTTTACATCTGGAGAATGCCATCCCAGGCTTACGATCCAGATTGTTTGCTGCCTAGAGTGAAACATGGCGGGGGTTTGATCATGGTATGGGCAGCCATATCATGGTATTCTGTCAGACCCATCATTACCCTGCAAGGTCACGTCACTGCCAACGACTGTGTGACCATTTTGGGCAGCCACACCCTTCCCATCGTGCAAACTTTGTTCCCCAATGGTGATGCCATTTACCAAGAAGACAATGCCCGTGTTCACACAGCTCACGTTGTCCACGACTGGTTTTCTGAGCACAAAGATGAAGTGTCACATCTGCCATGGCCCCCACATTCGCCAGATATCACTATTATTGAGCCTTTATGTTCTGTTTTGGAGAGCAGTCTGCGCACATGCTATCCACCTCCATCATCGTTAACAGAACTTGCCAATTTTTTGCAAGAAGAATGGTACAATATTCTCTTGCAAATCATACAGGACCTCTATTTATCCATTCCAAGGAGACTGCAAGCATTTCTGCAAGCCATAGGTTGTCCTACACCATATTAGTCATGGTAATGTGTTTTTTGTTGGATGTTTCCATATTTTTCTCCGTCCCCTGTATATCATTTGCTCAAGTCAGTGTTGTAGTATCTGATACACATGTAAGGAATTAGTTCTGAGGCCTGTTTGCCTGTTCTCACATTCCACATAATAACTCACTTATTGGCTGCTCCAAACACCTTGTGATTATTGTGGTGTATCAATGAACTGTAACTATATGCGCTAATGTTTCAGTGTCTTTGTGACTTACAGTCGTAGTTAAGATTGTGTGTTGCTTCATCATTTCATGTTTTGTCTGTGTTTCTGTTATTAATTTGCAGTCTCATCATTTTGGTTGTGAGCAGGTGGTACTGCTACTGGCATTGATCAGCTGCATAGGTTGCAAGATTGTGCACAGTTTTATTTTAATGACTGAACTGAAGTGACCTGATGATGAGCATTAAGTTCACAACATTTAGCTAGTAATGATAAAAAGATTGTTTTTTATTAAAGATACAGTAATTGTATACAAGGTTATGTGTGTGATGAGCATATTTGTGTATTGTTGTTAGTATACGTAACTGAATTACTTTTTGTGGCTACAACACGGTTGCAACATGGCTGCCAGCTGTGATCCAGCAAACACTCCATTCATGTTCTCTCTCTTTGCACACATTATATAACATGTTAGGAGTGGAGTCAACCTTTTTCTTGAGATCATTTACATTTCTTGGCAAATATGCATGGAACGCCTTTTCTTTGGCTGCTAGGAGTGACAAGAGTGTCAGATCTGGTGAACGATGTTAAGCAATTGGTCGACTTCTTCCTTCAGTTCATTGGCTCAGGATCTGATCAGAAATCCGTTTTCTTTTAAGCACTGTCACTGGAATTGTATGCTCCAGATATTTCTCGTCTCACAAGTCAGAAATATTGATCCCAAATGAAGTTCAGTTTTTCATTGATCTTCTGTAATATATGCCATTGAATTTTGTATATGCCTGAAAGTTGCAACACAACTGTGTGCATACCCTGTACTTTAATACAGATCTTAAAAAAATAGGTGTTTCGAATGGCTCATGTAGCATTGTTAGTGTAGTCAAATCAGGCTAGTTATTTGGGCAGGGTAGGCAACTCAGATAATAAAAACAATATCATTTTATTGAGAATTCACATGAAAACCAGCCTCTTGGCAAACAAAAGAGGAGATGCGAGGATAATTTTAATAGTAGTATTAGAGAGATGGTTGTGAAGTTGTGAATGGATTGATCTGGCACATGAGTAGTGAAGTTGAGCTTGTGATTTCTGGGACTTAAGTAATAGCACTTCAGTCAGAACACCATTGTAAGTTTGTCTCTTGCCACCACAGCATGATGGGTTCTTAGACTGTGGATGGTGGAGACATTCTCCAGATGTGCAGGGTGGCTGCAAATATAATTAATAAAGAACTGCTATTAGGTGATTGAGGGGGGGGGGGTATTACTCCAGCATGGGCACTGACAACTCTAGACCATAAAAAGAACAAGTGTATTATGAAATGTTACACTCCATTGGACTTTATGGGCTCTTGTGAACACGGTAATAAATCTTCATGTTATTTAAAAGTTGGGGATTTCTTTTGTAGCTAAGTTGATTGTCTCAAGAAGGACTTTTCTCCATGGAGTTGGTTTGAGCATTGTGACCTGTAAATAAAAGAAATCTTCTCTTATTTGTTAGTTAAATTATGGTCATTGGAAGCAGTATGGAACAGTGGGAATATGATTCTGTTTGCAGGAGGCCCGGCATCCTGGTGTTAGTGAATGATGCAGATTGGGAACTTCTTGTAAGTATTGAATTTGCTGTGCTCACATAAAAACCCAATATGTAATCTGTATTCTTGGAATTTGTCTCTGAAAAAGGTATATGAATAGGAGCTTGACCCACAATTTGGTTCTTTTTTGAAACATAACCACCATGTTTTGTGTTATGACCATTTTTTATTTTATGAAGGATTTGTAGAGACAAGTTAATATGTCAGCATAAGTGAATTTAAATTAAATTAAATAACGTGGGGATGGCAGAAGTGGGCCATTACCATAGAGGACTCCGTCAGGAAGACAAAGATGAAATTGTTATAATTACATGTAGTTATGTTTTATAAGTGTTTAGTAAACCAACTGCCAAGCAATACCTCTGTCCGGTTACTAACACATGACAGTATTTAACTTTGCATACTACTATTACTGATTATGGACAGTGGAATGGAACATTTGATTTTCATCTTTTGGAGCATAATGAACACTTGTAGAATACGGCACAGTCCCGTCATACGGAGTACTTCTGTTCTCCAAAATTTCACAGCTGTTCATCAGTTCACATAATGTCAGATATGTTTTTCATTTTAGGCAGCATGATGACAGTAAAGGTTGCATATTTTTTAAACATGCTTTCATATAGGCCAACAGGATCCTTCATACACAACTGCTTCTCACAGTCTTTCAAAGGTCTCTATATGTGTTATATGTTTAATGTAGATTGGGGGTGTGTTACTGTTAGTGAATGTAATTTGAAGGAACATATCAGTACTGTAGTTTGTTGTCAGATTGTTGTGTGGATTATGCTGGTATTTCCAGTCATTGTTTTATATTTTTATTTGCAGGGTCACTTGAATTATCAGCTGAAGGAAAAGGACAATATTCTGTTTATCTCCACTCTGCATGGGGGCTAGATCCTGATGTTTCTTATGAAATGTTCATGTCAAAAGAAAAGTGTCAACTGACTGATTACTTCATTACACTGTGACTGCTGGAGCTTCCATCCTGTTTGTGTGACTCCTGTTTGCTGGCTATATTTTTTCAGTCTCAGGATTTTGGTTTTGCACAGTAGCACAGAAATTGCCTGGGCCATCAGAATCATAATGGTTGGCAAACCAACACAAATCAGCTAGCATTCCTTCTGGACATGGTGTAGAGGACAAGGCCCTGAATTTGATTTTTTTTTAATACAGTGATTTATGACAACTTTAGGGAGCTTGGATAACTCAGTATAGTGACAGACTATGGGCTGGACTTCCGGGTTTGGTTCCCAGCAGAGGTAAGAGATTTTTCTCTACTCCACAATGTCCAACCCAGCTCCAGGGTCTACCCAGCCTCCTGTACAATGGGTACCAGGGGTAAAGTGGCAGAGGCATGAAGCTGAACAGTGACCTCCATCTAGTGTCGAGGTCAAAAATGGGGGGGGGGGCTATTCCTTACTCCCCAAACATCTTCAAGGTCTGGCGCTAATTAATTAAGCACAGGGACAACTTTAACAACTTTACCTTTTTTATGACAAATTTTCATTGAGAAAGGTTCTGATATAAAAGGACATAAGTAGTACACTTTAGTGCAATGTGAAAAGTGACTATGTTATAAATTGTGATTATGATGATATAATTGGTCTAGGAGGGAAACTTCTAGTTCTCATCTCATTTCTTGAAATGTTTCCAAATTCTGATTTCAGACTCATCTAAAAATGAAATCGTGATCCTTGCAGATGCCTAAGATGCATTTCAATCTGAAAATACCGATGCTGAATTTGTCTGAGAGTAAGGAAGGAATTGGAACCTTAAATAAGTCTGATGTAGGGGAAGAGCAGGTACTTCCTTGCACTGTAAACTTCATCAGTAACAGAATAGTAGCTTCCTTTGAAATCCAGAACTGTAATTTCCTACCACATTTCTGTTACACATCCAAAAAATGTTATAATCAACAAAACCAGAAAGTATATTGAATTTTTTGGTCACTATGGAAGGACGCCGTGAGACTAGTTATGTCATTACTTGTAATTGAGAATATTAAGTTTTGTGTTTCTTTAGGTGTTTTGTGTGCAAGACATGTCATTTAACCTGTCATATTCAATTTCAGTTTTCTATCAAACCTTTATTGAAAGTATAAAATTCCATCCATAATGTTCAGGAAACAATTTTGTGAAACTGTGTATTAAAAAGACAAAACAACTCCATCCAGTGTGACTATTTAAGTTTTACTGCTTTAAAATTAGCACCCTTACATGTTTCAATCCTTACAGATCATCTTCAGAGGGAACATCAATACTTATTTGCAAACTACAGGGTGGGGCGCAGAAACTTCGTTTTTTTGAAGGCGAATAAAGGAAAAATTATTGCTGATAGACAAAATTTATGTTTAGCTGATGAAAGAACATACTTTAAAGTTTTAAATCATGTAGTTTTAAACAAAATATCTTGTGGTGGCCACCGCTCTCTATAAACTGATGCAACCGTTTTCTGAAGTTCCCCTTTGCATGTTAGAACATATGCACCGGAATTTGGGCTGCTTCCTGCCGAATAACATTCTTCAGCTGAAGCAGGTTTGTGGGGCAATGTTTAAAGACCTCTGCCTTGAGGTATCCCCATAAAAAAAGAATCACAGGGTGTTAGATCAGGTGAGTGCGCTGCCCACGGGATGTCATCTTAAAGCGAGATGAGCTGTCAGGGGATCTTTGCCCTCAAAACTGTCATCGAAGCTCAGGCTGTGTGGGCCGTGGCACCATCCTGCTGGAACCAGACATTTCCTAGATGCATTTCTTCCAGAGCTGGTTAGAAAAAGATCTCAAAATCAACTGTTCAACTGCCTCCACATTTTCTGGCGTCTTAACGGTCCGTTGTTGTCCTGATGATTTTTTCACCACTCTCTCGGTTGTCCTAAAGTTCTCTACCCACAAAACAATCGATTTCAGGTCGGGAACCGGACCTCTGGGCTTAATTCCGAAGTGAGTACGGAACGCACACTGCACCGCCATGTAGGAATGGTTGTTCGAAAAATAGGCTTCGACAGCAAACGCACGCTGCTCACTCGTCCACCTCATGTTTCCTACTGAAGGGTATTAGACAGAAAGTTCTGCGACTGCTGCATTCGCCAAGCCTATCCCCACTTTTCTGCGATCTCCCCTCCCTTCACAATGTGTCTTCACAAAAAGGAAGTTTCTGCCCCCCACCCTGTACTATCACAATAGGTGTTCCCAGTGGTAAATTACATACACACACAATGTTTCCTACTGAAGGGTATTAGACAGAAAGTTCTGCGACTGCTGCGTTCGCCAAGCCTATCCCCACTTTTCTGCGATCTCCCCTCCCTTCACAATGTGTCTTCACAAAAAGGAAGTTTCTGCCCCCCACCCTGTACTATCACAATAGGTGTTCCCAGTGGTAAATTACATACACACACAATGCCTGGAATACACAATATACACACCAGTTTTTTCACAATCACAGCAGCTTTCCTGGTATTAAAGTTTTTAAAAGTTTGTTTTATTTATTTGTTTATTAAATTGCATTAAAGTGGTTGCAAGGAACATTACGTGTTCAGTTTCCAAAAAGTTGGTTATCTTGAGTTAATGTGCTTTTGTTTTTATCTTCATGGTTTAAAGTTTTTTTGTGGGTTGCGTTACAGCTCTGTTGGTAACTAAATTATATAGCATCTGATGGTAGGATTGCCGTTGATTAGTGAATTGGGAAGTACTTGGAACAAAATGTTCATAGCCTCACATTTTCCTGGAGATACTGAGGAAAACCATGAGCAACCTCAGTGAGGATACCTAGTGTCCTGGTTGATGCATACCGAGCATCCTCTGATTGCAAGTCTGGAGCATGTTACTGGACCAACCTGTTTAGTTGTTTAAGCTTCAGCTGTACTTAACTTTTGAAGGATTAGAATTATTTGGCTTTTAGTTGACAAAAATGTTGGATTCAGATGGAAAATTTTAATAGTTAGAAATGTTTAATAGTTAGAAGCCTACTTTTAGTATAATGTAATGAATTAGAAAAAGTGTGCTGTGTATATATAAGGTCCTTGTATGTTAGCACTAAACTGAAAGAATTAACATATTTTCTGGAATTTTGAGATCCATTTTTCTCCCTAGAAAATCTTACAAAAATTCGGGCACATCTTGCAGTCTGTCCTGCCTGTATACCTTGAAGAGAGTAGGTATTTTGCTGGCTTCCGTTATTCACCACTGTCAGAAGTTTATGTGGGGCTATCGGTATATAGAATAATTCACTTGCTAATTTTTTCCATCTGCAGTATCTGATAAAACAGCTCTTGTATGCCATTATGCTCCATTAGTGTTTCATCTGTTGATGTTTCCACCACACTGGAATGCCTTGTTGTGAAGCCATTTGTCATATTTATTCAAGTGGGTATATACGTGGATGGTCCAATATTAAAGGTACAGGTGTCTTGTTACATTTTGCCTATGTGTGACATCTCGATGTCACTTGCATATATTAGTCACTTTGCAAGTGAACAAAATGGCCAGTGTGATTGAAAATTATTCCAAGTTTGAGGTTCATGTGGTGGTGCAGAAGGAATGAGTCAGAGAGAGATTCATCGCAGGTTAGTGAGTGTTTACAGCCAAAACGTTTTCATCCAAAAGGAAGTGTCTGTGTGGCACAGCAAATTTAAAAATTACCGAATGGCACTGAATGATGAACCACAGAAACACTGAGGCAGACCAAGACCTCACGCACTGATGACAATCGTGTCATTGTTGAAGGTTTGATAAGAGAAGATCGAAGAGTCAAAGTTTGTGAAATTGCTGAAGTGACAGTTACTGCAAAAAGCACTGTTAATGAAATAATCTCAGATTTAAACTTCCATAAAGAGTCTTTGTGCAATACTTCACATCCCTTGGAAAGGAACACTGCCATGAAGGAATGTTTAAACTTGTAAAATGATAGAATAAATGTCTGAATGCTAACAGTGATTACATGAAAAAAAATTTTTTTTTTCATTGATTGCATCCTGTTGTGTGTCTCAGACAATATATAATATGTATGAACTATGCTAGTGTCAACACAACAAAATATTTCAGTATTACATAAAGATCTAAATGTAATACTGAAATATTTGTTGTGTCGACGGTAACATACTTCCTACATATTGTAATGTGGATGGCACAACAAGAAGTAGGGGTCACGTGAACTCTGCATTTCCGTGAGTGACGTCACATACCCCCCTCCTTCCATCACTACACAACGCTTAGTAAACACCCCTCCCCGCTAGGCTGTGACATCACGCAACAGGCGAGTCTGTGCAGCGACTATTGCTAGGCAATCGGTAAACATGGCAATTATGCAACAGGGAAGCGAGATGCATTTTCTGCTGTATGGCTGAGGGTTTATAATAGAAACTGGAATGCCTAAGGAGAGAGTGGAAGTCTAGCAGTCGCCGAGTGCAGTTGCAGTCTAGCATTCGCCGGAGTTGAGCATTAGCCGTCAGTTTCCAGCCTTCAAAGAGATGAGGTGAGATGAAGTCCAGCAACCACGAGTTGTTAAGTTGTATCAAGTGAATGGATTCAAGACAATTGAACCCAGGAAGTGACTACAGCAGATGGCAGTAATTGGGACACTGTAAGTTGTGTAAGTGTAAGAGCGAGTGTACAATAAATTTGCTACATCCAAGACGGCGTGAAGTTATTTATCATGCTACTAACACCCAACACTGACAATACTACATATTGTGAAAAATTAAACATATAACGGAGTGTTTCTTGACTTTATTAAAGATTTTCTTTGCAATAAATATGTCGATGTAATTTGGTGCTGTACCATTAAATTCAAGCCGCCCTCATGTATAATGTGTGTGTATGTATATATATATATGTCAAACATGTTGATTTCACCCCTTGCATTTTCTTACCTCTTAATCTTTATCGTATCTCTCAGTACTGCAGCACTGATGGCTGGATTTTAACCTTGTGGTAATGATATTTATATTGAAAAGAGTGAGGCAAGGCTTGCTGAACCTGCAGGAATGCATGGACAACAGATGTTAAAAATGTTCTCACCATTATGGGTGTAACAGTGTGCAGTGCACTACAAATGGAACTGTTCCACTAAATATATACAATGTTACAGCGCTAATTGTAAGAACAGTACTTGTATAAAGGTGAATGAAGTTCACTTACTACTCTGCTGCATCTCAAATGATCCTGTTACGCATGTTTGTGAAGAGGGAGATGCATGACTTGCTTGATATGCCTATTTAGATTCTTTTACAACTGGTAAGCATATTCAAACCTGTTTCAGACATGAAGAATGTAAATAGACATTGTCCTGACACAATTTAAAAAAAATAGTCATACCGTTATTATTTATTTATGTAACCAACTGACACACTGTAGTGTAGGTAGCACCATGTACAGTGAAATATTTATACAAATGATTATTTTTTGCAAATTCATTCAAAGATATAATTGTAGAATGTTGTATTTTCCATTAGGTGTATGCAGAGGAATGTATATTGTAATCTTCATATGAAGCAGTTGTTTCTCTTTCTGAAGGTGCAGTCTAAAAGCAGAGTGTAACACATATCTGGTGAGGCTGTAAGTAAATATGATAATGTAAAAAAATTACATACCACCCCTCATCATAATTATAATTCTGAAGTAAATTTCTAGATACTGCAGTCCTAGCAGGCAAGAGTGACTGGAGAAATGTATGCCACATTCCTCTCCAGAAGTACATGCAGCATCACATCTCTACTCGGGGTATCCTGGGAAATACACGGATGCCTGGGTTTTCTGTGGACAGGTAACATATGGCAGGAACATGTAGATACTGTTTGCTTGTATTACAGTCACTCATATCTCAGGCAAAGCACAAACCAAAATGTTTTTCCTTAAAGCATGGCAACTTGAGTAATAAAATTACACCAAAAAAAATCCAAAAACATGATTATATTTCTTTTTTCAATGCGTATAGTCAACCAACTGAGCTATTGTAATTCTCGGATACAAACTAGCCATTTCCAATGCTATGGGCTAGCACATTAGTTACTACATATGGTATTCCTGAATGCTAAAGCAACACATCTGAAATAGTGAATTACTATGTGGCTATGTGCCGCCGCCCTCAATTGCTGTTTCAGCAGAGTGGCATATCTTGTCACATAAGTTCTTTAAACTTCTCTCTATGAGGATAAGGTTCAAAATTTTAAACATGTAGTGTATACTCATGGTGATACTATACCCCCTCAGAAAATCGCCATTTGCCCACTAGGTTGTGCTCTCGCTGAACAGACTTAAGTCCCTGAACTAGTGTCCAGTTATTAGGGCAACCGAGATGGTAAAGTGGCCCATCTTGCCAGCCAGATTCTTCAAACTTCTGGTCACCTATGAAAATAATGTTCAAAATTAAGTGCCGTATACCTCCATAGTTATGCTAATACCCGAATAAAAAAAAAAAGCAATTTCGTTTCCCAGGCTATTCTTCAAAGAGACCTGAATTAATATCCGGGTATTAGGATAGTCAAAGAGTTACCAGACGCTCTGTTTCCTCTAGTCAGAGTGCCACATATTTCCAGCTAAGATAATGCGAAAGTAATACTGCTTAATATTTTAAAGATGCAGTATACCTCCATGAAGATGCTAATGTCCACATAAAAATCGCCATTTTTTTAATTGCTTTTAGCCTATTTCTCGAAAATGGTTTGATTTATATATGGGTACAAGGAGAGTCAAGGAGGTATCAAGCGCCTTCTATTGCTCTAGTCGGCAAAGTTCCCGCCTCAGCGCGATTCGACGTTCAAAACTGGAACATAATCGCCATTTTGATCCCGCCTACAGTCGAAAAGCCAAATGACAGCGCGATGGGGTGGAAGAATATGGTACTTTGACTAGCAAGGAAATGGTTGTACCTCCACGGTGACGCAAATACTCGGATACAAAATTGCCATTTTACATCCAATCGCCTTAGGAATATTCCTCGAAAAAGAATTTCTATCTGGGTAATAGGATAGGCGAGAAGATATCAGCGGTCTTCATAGTGCTCTGGTAGGCAAAGTAGCACATTCAGGGAGGTACGTAGATGCTCCCGTCAACATATTGCCCCTCATCACACGATTGGACGTCGCAGTCTACAGAATACCAAAAATGGCGATATGAAGATTTTAAAAAGGCAATATATTCCTCCACGGTGATGCAAATACCCAATGCCACTATACCTCTTCGGTGATGCTAGTACCCGGATACAAAAACTCCATTTTTTCGCAATTGAGGTCAGCTTGACCCTCGAAAATTATTGAATTTATATGCGGGTACTAGGATAGTCGAGGAGGTATCAGCCGCCCTCTATATTCGAGTCGCTGAAGTGACTAATCTTGCCAGGTAAGTTCTTTGCCTGTTTCAGTCGCCATTTTGTTCATGTGATTGGACGCAGAATTCCAGCATTCGCCATTTTGTTCCGCCCCCCCTTCACGCGTTTGGACGTCATGGCATCCAGATTTTGAAATCATTAAAAGTTCATTATATCTCCTAGGTGATCCTGATACCCGGATATAGAATTTCCATTTTGTTACCAACATTTGTATATCTGTTGCGCGAAAAATGTTGAAATTGTATCCCTGGGTACGAGGATAGTCGAGGATGTATCAGCTGTTTTATGTAATATTCGAGTCGCCAAAGTGAATCATCTTGCCAGCTAAGTTCTTTACCTGCGTCCGTCGCCATTCTGTTCATGTGATTGGACTCGGAATTCCAACATTCGCCATTTTGTTCCGCCCTCTGCCTCGCGATTGGACGTCGTAGCATCAAGATTTTGAAAACATTGAAAAGTACATTATACCTTCTCGGTGATCCTGATACCCGAATACAGAATTTCCTTTTTGCAGCAAATTTTTGTAAATCTGTTGCTCGAAAATTGTTGATCTTGTATCCGGGTACTAGGATAGTCGAGGAGGTATCAGCCGCCCTCTATAGTGTTAAGAGTCACAAAAGTGAATTATCTTGCCAGATAAGTTCCTTACCTACTCCCGTCGCCATTATGTTCATGCCATTGGACGCAGAATTCCCTCATTCGCCATTTTGTTGCGCCCCCTTTCACGCGATTGGACGTCATGGCATCCAGATTTTGCAAACATTCAAAGTTCATTATACCTCCTCGATGATCCTGATACCCGGATACATAATTTCCCTTTTGTTGCAAATTTTTGTAAATCTCTTGCTCGAAAATTTTTGAACTTCTATCCGGGTACCAGGATAGTGGAGGAGGTATCAGTCCCCCTCTATTATATTCGAATCGCCGAAGTGGATTATCTTGCCAGACTACATGGTGTCACATCCCAGAAGACTGAAATATTCGTGGTTAGAGCCATATTCATGTGGAAGATGTTGGCTGAAGACTTGTTGGCTTAAAGAGTATATATCGTAATTGCACATACAGGGAATACACAGTAATGAGTAGACAACAGTTGGTTTTGATTTGACATGGGGGTTAGGTGTAGAAATTGAGAACTGAGAGTTGCGTGTTTTGCGTTTCTCGGTACTTATGAATTGCATGGCGACAGTGAGGGGGCTACGGCTGGTACTTGGAATGAAGAGTACAGCATTCTGAGTTGTAGCAATGTGTACTTTGGAGAGAGCCCCTCGTTTTGGAGGTGACATATTCTTCCTAAACATTGGGCCATCTACAAACTACACGTTGCTACAGCGCAGGACCCTAAACTCCTTATAGACATTGCCATGAAAATATCAAATCAAACATGGTACTCAGAATGTCTGTGTAAGATACGCAAATTGCTGTCTGAGTCCAGAGGTAATTGTAAGTATAAATTTAATAGGAACTGCTGCAGCTTTGGGGGTTGGTGGGGCAATGTTAAGGCATTTTTCTAATTGGTACAGTAAGAAATTTATTGGCAGCTAATTCCTCAATAATCAGCCAAGCCATAGCGAACAGTTTGGGCATTGTATTGATATAGAAATCTGTAAATTGCAAATACAGTTAACAAATAATTTTAAAATATTTAAGAATTTTAATGTGTTCAATGAATAACATTAAAAAATAATTGGATTGGGAGTAAATTTTGGAAATTTTTGTCCACTCTTAAAACCTATCTTGAATATATCAGAACACTGAAACATTAAAATTCAGTAGCATGTTGAAAGAATACATATTGGTTGTGTTTATGGAGGTAAGTAAAAATGCTTTCACTTTGACGCATAGAAAGCTGCAGTCGCATTCCCTGTGGACATGAACATGGAACCTTCAGAAGGTATGTTCGCTGCCCCGTCAATATATATGACGAATATATATTTTAGTTATTTTAGTATAAAGACAACAGGGCATGCAATGAAGTAGTTCGACGTACATCGAAAAGCACCTGAAGATGGCACTTTTTTGCTGAAACATGTAGTGCAAGAGAGAAGAGTAAGGTGAATAAATGTATGCACTGTAAGACGGTCAGAATAAATCATGGTCATAAATCAGTGCAACAGGACGCTAAAATATAACATTAGAAATGTTTCTACTTTACAGGCAGGGAGGAGAAATTTTCTCATGATGGATATGAGAGAAGTGATAATTAAACCTGTTTCCAAAATACAAGAAGACCAACAGCGTGGTAAGAACGACTGTTGTACAAGAGATTTTGGTGGCAAAATTATATATTGCTAGTCTGTTGCTAGCGCTATCATAGCGTATCTCCTTACCGACCATGAGATCGGCACTGGCGGCGGCCATTTTGTGGCAATATATTTAAATAGGAATATAGATGGCAGAATTAATGCTCTCGTGCTGTGTCGGCTGTTATCTTGCAGGCAAATAACGTCGAGTTGCTTGCAATTGGTTCAAGATATGAGTGAGAGACGTCGGATATTGGTGTTTGCTTATTAATGGAATTGTTTGAATTACGCAGGTAAAAAGGGTTTTGAGGTGAAAGAATGTCGTTCAGGTTTCATTGTTTTTATCTTTTTTTACCAGTGTATTACACAGTATATATTATATTGATCATATAGCTAAACTGTTGTTCACTGTACAGTGCATGTGTACAATTGACAATGGTAATGTTTATAGCAGTTGAATCCCAATGAGTTTAGATTACGTAAATGAAATTCCGTAATTAATTTGTGTTTACAGAGTAGGCTTATACAAAAATTTGAGCGTTTTGCACAAACATGACAGTCTGAAGGTAAATTTTCTCAGAAGGGTAAAAGTAAAACTTTGCTCTAAAGAGGCGAACTTGGAATATGCAACACCAGCTCAAGAAGAAATACATTCGAAGAATTAGATTTTAACTCCACATATAAAGACAGAAAAGTAAGGTTTGTTTAACAACAGTTAATTCTTTCTTCAGATACGATAAACATGATAGTGAAATTCACAGGTTAACTAAAAGTGATATTCATGGCGTAGGCATTGGACAAACAGTGAAGAGCGTATCAAGTGTCGAATTCCAGTTTTATGTACAATCGAACTCGAGTACTTGCACTGTGTATTTTTTTATCAGCCGTTTTTGAAAACCATTAGTAAAATGAAATATACAAGCATTTAGCTTCTTAGAATTGATTAGAAATTATATACATTTCTCAGATGTTTCATAGGCCTATGCGAAGGATGGAGAACATCTTATAATACAAATATATTGTTTGTTTTCAGGACATATAAATATGGAGGTATAACATCTATTTTCATATTTACAGACATTCCTTATACTACAAAGTTACACAAAAATAACTACATGAAGAAACCACATGTTTATTACCTGTATTTATAATTGAAAATGTTATATGAAAGCATTTTAATTAATATGAAGCAAAAGATATAGACATTCATGTGTAAAGGACTACCTCAGTTCATCTTAACCAGAACACTGTTAAGACAGTTTTATGAAATTCTGTTTGTCTGATTGTACGGTGGGACCGCCGTGTAAGATTGTAAGTGACCCAAAACTTTTCATGTAGCACATTGAAATCTAGGTGAATGACATGTTTACTGTAGTCAATATTTATGAAATCTTAATTGTTTCTTAGCATCTCCCGTCCAGTTCATTAATGTAACAGATAAAATTGTAACTTTCTTGTTTGTTTGTTATAACAAATGTAATACATAACACCCACAGCTGTTAAGAAATTTACTCTGCATTTGTGCCAGTATATAGAATGGCTACAAATATTAAAGCAATGTTCAAGGATGAATAAAGTTTTGGATAAAATTGGAATGCTCATACTCAGGTCTAATCTGATGAGTATGCTTTGTTAAGATATGAAGCATGTTCATCATATGTTCGTGTTATTTGGCTATTATCCCTTCTATGTAATTTTGGCTGCTGTATATTATGACATTGAGAAGAAAAGTTACCATGTCCTGGACCATGAATGGGTACTTTTGTTTGTATGAACTAAACAGTTCAAATGAAAACCAAAGCCTCCCTTAATAGTTAAAAATCAGGGCATTTATTGAAAAAATATCCTGAGCTAAAAACCCAAGGGTTTCATAATGAAATGCATGAGTGTCATACATATGTATGTATCTACAGTAATTAACCGATTAATGATGTTCTGTCAAGTTTGGTACAGTCACATAATCCAAACATTCCTTGAAATGCAGTTGAAACTACCTCCTGAGCCAGAACATATATATATATCTCTAGTTGCATAAATAAATACATGTAACAGCAATATTTTAACTAAAATTATCACATAGGATAATATGACTTCAAGTTTGAAATGTATTGGTATGATATCATTATAACTTTTTTGTTTATTCTTTGTACCAGCCTTTAGTTTCACCTTTTATAGTACTAGATTCTCAGTAAAATATCTTTATGGGGTGCAGAAAACATAAGCTTACAGAAGAAATGTCTTGTGTGAACAGTAAGGTCTCCAGTATAGTGTTCCTGTTGATAATTCTCCGTAGGTTACACAATTTAATACCAAATTTCAAAAAAGCAAAAATGTATTTGTGTCTGTAAATCATGTTGAGCATGGTAGTGATGCACAATCAAAGATATTTAGAGAAGTTATATCAGTTCGCTGTAGAATTAAAATTCTAGTGAGAAAGTTAGGTAATGAATTTTCTTTAGATTTTCATATGATAAATATTTAATATTTATTTAATGTATTTACAGCATAAAGAAGAACAATTATGAGGAGTTAATTGTGGACATAATCAAGAGAGGTCTTGTTTTGGATCACAGCAAATCACCATGTGAGGAGAACTTCATACCAGACAAAAAAGTGAATATATTTACTGCAATATTTACAATACAATATTTACTGCATCAATTTTGTATTTTTTTTTTGTAATATATTTAATCATTATTGTGTTTTATTTATTTTAAAAATCGTTCAACTACAATGGCCCATTCTCTCTGATATTTTCACCAGTTATGAAATACATTTGCTCCCATGGTGATGTCTGTATTATGACACTGTGTTTTCTTGTAATGTTGCTGGTTACCAATGATTTGGAGGAAGAGGGTTGATCTTGAATATTCAACCCTGAGGATGGAAGTATCATGTTTCGCCGAAACACTGGGACCAGCCTTCCAGATTACAATGTGGTGTAACACAGATATCACAGAAAGAATCTTCATTGCCTTGAAAACCTCAAACTGTACAAATACATATGTCTGTTTCTCATTACGTGTTCATTATTTTAAGGCCAACTGATTAATAAGATTAATAAGATGTAAGTTATATATGTGTCTGTATATTTTCTTCTTTGTTTCAGGGTGAAATCATAATAATGTTCATCAAAATGGAAGAATCAAAAGACTTTGTAATGTGGCTGCAAGTAGGTTCAGACATGCTGTGCTGTTGGTAGAGAGAGCTAACCCTCCTCTCTCTTTCTTCTGCCACCAAACACGTCCTCCTCTTCCTGCTTCCTTTTCCACCCTGCCTCCTCCACCCCATATTTCCTCCTCATTCACTTCCAACCTTCCCATTCTCCTTCTGACTTCTACCATGTCATGCTCTTCCTCATGCCACTTCTCCATACCTCTTCTTTCTCCTGCTTCCACCAACCTCCTCCTCTTCACCCTACCTCGTCTGATGAGTAAAGGTCATAACGTTCCTCTAGAGAGCAGCACCTCATAGTGCTTACTTATCCTACCATATTTAGTACCCTAATACATATGTACTGTATATTTGCAGTACATTCAAGTTATTGAAATTAGGTATTTGCAACAAAGCAGAACATAGTGAGCGTGTGTAGAAGGTGAGATTTTGCTCTGTATTCAGTCATATAAATTCCTATGTTGATGTTTCATTGGGCTTCATAGAGTACTTGCATAACATTATTCTGCAAATTGTTTCAGTTCGAGGTTATCACAAGAGTATGTGGAGACTGCACATGAAGGGCGGTGAAATGCTTGTCACTGGAGTGCCAGACTTGGAGTATTCATAAGTAAGACTTCTGTAAACACAAATATGAATATTGTAGTGCTAATACAAGTCTCAGTGAAATGATCAATCCTTTTGAGGGTCCATCATCATCATCATCATCATATCCTAATGTAGATTGTTACATTGTCATCAGAAGTTAACTAGTTTCTTTTCTCAACACACAGTTGGAACCTGAATCATGTTATTGGAGATCTCACTTTCTTCATAAGTTTGCCTACCCAAGGTATGATGAATGGTCAGAGATGATTTGGACTCTGTTTACCATCTCTTTAAGTGAACTTTAGTGCCTCTGTTTCTTGGGCAGGTTCTTCTGTCATATTGGCATTTAACAAGCTGCAGGCCGTCACACCAGAAGACTGCAGTATGCACTGTCCCATGCATCTCAGATTGCATAGTTTGATATAAGCTGGTTCCAAAATTATACCTTGTTTTTAGGTTTGCAGATAATTCAGGTTGGTCCAGGATGGTTCCCTGTTGCTGTTTGGGTGCTGGGGCACTGCCCTAACACTTCTATTATGGACAGGGTTGTCAAACTTCAATACTTGTTATTAAAATGTACGCTTCTTTCACTCATTCTTTACAGATTACAATTTTGCTTCAATAATACAGTTCTGTATTCTTGAACATTCTTGAAAGGATCATTTGAAAAGTATTCGTATTGAATGTTTTACAGGCTTTAAAAGTAAAAACCCTTCTACATTATTTCATTTTTGATCTCTAGCCTGAGATAAAATTCTCACCTCTTTAAAAACACAGTTTTTTCCTGATCAGTGTTTTAAAGGTTTCTGCAATTAAAAGAGCAAAGTTAACATTATGTTAATGACGAGAACTGCCTTGAATCAGGATTCCTGCCCATTTATTTCAATTTGGAGCTGTGTGCCAGAGCGCTGCAGCTCTTTACTTTTAGGACTGCATCCATACCCGTTTCTGACTGATATTTTGTGTTCAGTGGCTGTAACAGTGAAGTTATGAACAAGCATGACAGTTATTTTTATCAGTTACATGTGATTTGTTAATATAGGGAATATTATTTATTTCAGAAAATTCAAACCATCAAATGTCAGTCCAATTTATTTGGAACCTCATCAAGAGAAGACTATGTCAGGTAGAAGAAGGTAACAGCATTTAGAAGATTCTTGGAACTCACATTGCCATGAAGATGAGCCATCTGTGACACAGAGATCTTAATTTGAAGATAGGACATTATTTTACGGCTTTACCATCTTGCCTGTGCCAATTCGTTATGAGAAACTGTAAAGAACTGTTCTTCTTAAGATGCCAAAACTGTGTGCTGATTTCTGCACTTCCTGATGTGTACATTGTGAATGTGTACCAGAATGAAAATAATATTGTAGATCCATAGAAAGAAGTAGGTATACCATCTGAGCTGGAGTTACAAATTTACAAGTACAGTAAATTCCTGTTTGTCTGGTATCCAGGCATCTAGGATTTTCATTCAGCTGGCAAATATTTCTAAGAAAATTATAAAGTCATTAAAAAAATTATGAGTGTATTTTCACTCACTATTCAATAGTCCTCCCAGCTTCCACTACGGCACAACCCATTATGCAGATGCCATTTCAGCAGAGGCTAGTTGAATTTGTGATCTTGTGAATTCAAAATCTTTCACCTGTCAATCTGCAGCATTGTATGGGAATAGTCCATGCAAGAACTAAAGCAAGAATGTGATATTTTGATTATAAATTAGGTTTCTGCAAGAACTTTTCTCATGAAAACAGCAGATTCATGTAACTGGCAGACCCCATTCTTTATACATGCCAAGTAATTGTGGTTTACTGTACTAATTAATAGGATAGATTCATCTTCAGTATAAATGTAAACATATTGTCACGTGTTGGGTATGTGACGTGACAAATGACTTCACGCTATTCTGGATCTATTGAATTTATTGCACATTTGCTCTTGCATTTACACAGTTTACAGTTTCACACCTACTGCCATCGGCAGTATCACAATTACTTCTGTTGTAGCCACTGACATTCACTCGATACGACTCAAGTCATAGCTGCTGGACTTCAACTCATACTGGATACTAGTAACTCAATACTCAATCCTCCTGAATCAAAGTCAAAGTCATATTGCAACTGATGATCAGTCAGTCAGTAAGTCTTGGTATCGAGCACCCTCCTGGGGCTCATGACCAGATATTTATTGCTCCTCGACAGTTAGGTCTTGTTTCTGTGGGCCGCCCTCTCTGACGAGAGGATGGGCCTGTCTTTTGGGCAAGGGCCAGCAGCAAGACCGTAGCTGTCAAGGAGTAATAAATATCTGGTCATGAGCCCCAGGAGGGTGCTCGATACCAAGACTGATCATCTGTCGCAATATGACTTTGACTTTGATTCAGGAGGATTGAGTATTGAGTTGCTAGAGAGAGTTACTAGTATCCAGTATGAGTTGAAGTCCAGCAGCTACGAGTTGAGTCGTATCGAGTGATCGCTGCTCCTTATTTAGGCTAGCCACAGACAACATAAAGAACACATTGCTGCTTGGCAACAGATATCAGGTATTGTTATCTGGTGTTTCTAACTCGCATTGCCTAGCAGTAGTCGCTGCACGAACTCGCCTGTTGTGTGATGTCACAGCGTGGCGGGGAGGGGTGTTTACCCAGCATTGTGTAATGATGGGAGGTGTGGGGGTACGTGACGTCACTCGTGGAAATGCGGAGTTCACGTGACCCCTACTTCCTGTTGTGCCTTCCGTGTTAACAATATAAATCAAGATTTTGTAATTTAATTTTTAGTACCAAATTTACACCTGTGGGACCATTCATATGTTTCTTAGCAAATATGTTAACAAACCACTGATCACTCTCATGTCACTGTGTGGAAACAGCTCTGTTTAAATCAGTTGTGTACTAAGACATATAAAAAAAGTGGTATGTCACAAACAATCATGGAAAAAATTCTTAGTGAACCATTAATGAATTGTGTGGCTCTCTTTAGATCAATGGTTCACTAAGATGTGGCAGAAAAGTGGCACAACACAAATTAACATGGAAAAAAGAGATTTAGCCTTTTGTACCAGGTTGAGATAAGCTATTTGTAATTCCCTGGCTGCATTACTATAGTTGAAAGAGGCCTCATAAGAATTTGTAAGACTTGTAATTCTTTGTTAAATTGACAAATTCTCTGAAGCTCTTATTGCATCAGAAAGTGGCATATCTTCCTCTTTGTTCTGGAATACATGAGTGAACAAATGTGTTCACACTCATGATAATAATAATAATAATAATAATAATCCAATTCATGTTTATTTACACGCAAACTTAACAGAACGGAGGCCAATTAAATGGTTACCACAAGTACATAGAAATACAGAAAAATAATTAAAAAACAAAATATAAAATTTGAGGGTCTATATAAGGGCAATAAATTGATAATCATTCCAAGAAAAATTAAAGTTAACAGGAGAGAAAAATAAAACAAGACCAATATACGTATATACACAGGCCGCACCATAGCTCAAGTGGTTAGTCGCTGGCTTCCCACCACAGAGGCCCGGGTTTGAGCCAGGGTCTGGTCAAGTGGATTTGTGGTGGACAAAGTGGCGCTGGGGTGGGTTTTCTCAGAGTACTTAGATTTCCCCTGCCAATCTTCGTTCTACCAAATTCTCCAGCATCATAATCACCCAGGGCAGGCTACAATAGGCCAATCAGTGGCCCCTGTGCCGAGTGGATCCAGTTGTACTCCACCCCCTACTATGCGAATTTAATTTAAATTTTACATAAATACACAAGTGTAATATTAGGAGTATTATCAAATATTATTAACAATTTGAGGTTCAGTGTGATTGACAGACTCTGTTCCAATTGCAAATATGTCGAGATCTTTACCCACCGTTTTGGCAGCATAGGCGCATCGAGCAGAAGGACAGTGTTTATTAGAGGGACAAACACCAAACAATGAGAATTCCTTAAGATTGCTGGGAGGATCACGAATGCTAACATTTTCCAAAAGAGAAGCACAGGATTTAAGACGAAAGACCTGAACCAAAAAAGTGCATCAGAGTGATTTCTCCATTTATGTAAAGAATGTTTACTTAATTTCTCTAAAGCATCAGTATAAGTATATGGAATATGAGGGAAAAAACGATAAAAACAGACAGAAGCAAACTTCTGCTGGATGTGCTGAAGCTTATTGGCATCAGTCAAGGTGATGAAGTTCCAAATTACCGAGGCATATTCAAACTTGGACCTGACTAAAGTAAAGTATAGTACATACAGACACTCCAGGGAGGAAAGTCTGTAGGTAATGGAGCGAATAAGGCCTAAAAGCTTTATGCATTCAGAAAATATGTAATTAACATGTGTGCGAAAAGTGAAAATGTAGGTTTGAATCAAAGGAAGCACCCAGGTCATTAATACTAGCATGACCA